AGAGAGGGCTTCAGTCTCTCTTTACACATAGTGGGATTTTGTGTTCCTGCTAAAATACCGAATTAATCAATTAACTCGAGTGACCGTGTCTGGGAGTTTTAGATTCTGATGGCAATGCTGGATTTTTTGTAACCCTTGGGGATTCTATTAATAACGACAATGGTGCTGAGGTCTGGGAACAGCCATCTCTTGCAAGGAGTATTAAATGCTCCAACTTTTAAACACACGCCGCTTTGTGTGGTACCATCTATGCTCAGGAGAGGACACTGTGGGCGGGGTAGAATGTCACATGAAGAAATTTTGAGGCAGGGTGAGTTGTTTCTTGCTTGTCCTGAAATGCCATGTGCAGTGATCATTTGCAGGACAAACAGCCTTTCGGGCATCAGGGAATAAAATGATTGAGACTGTTCCGGGAGGCCAGTCAAACTGGACAGTGCCCCTTTAAACGCAACACACCCTCTTCTGATCAGCACTCGCCCACCCCACTACGGAGCGCTCCAGAGCTCACCTCCCTGGTTGGCTGCCTGGTTGGAGGGCTGTGCACAGAAGCCAAAGACTGAGCAGATCATGGAGAATCAACTCCCTGCCCACGTGGACACCAGCACCTCCCGCTCAGAGTGGAGGCAGGTCGTGTGGCAGGGAAGGAAGCTCGCACAGCCTGTGTGGTCCTGGTCTGGAGGTGACCAGAGGCCTGCTGGCTTTTCTTGCCAGCACTAGATGAGCCCCAGTTCATCGCACAGAAGGCCACTAGCTCACTTGCCCTTTTCACAACTAGCTGCTGGCACCGTCCGTTGTGCGTGCTGCACAAGAGACGCTGTGGGCCTGATCCAAAGCCCATGAATTCAGCAGGCTTCGAATCAGGTCTTGCGTGAGGAAACCAGAGGGTAAGTAGCAGATCATGGCTCAGAGGAGTAGAGGGCATAGCAGCAGAGCCGGGTACGTCAAAGTGCCATCTTACACAATTGTCATCTTTATTTTTAACAGCTCCGGCTGTGTGAGCAGGCACTTTTGACACGGGTCATTTCCAGTACTGAAGGGTGAGAATAACAGCCGGGCTGTGTGGGACACAGGTAAACTTAAGTCTGACTGACGGATGACCCTTGGAATGAGGGTCAATTGGGTGTGATGCTTGTTAGTCCCCAAGCAATTATAGACAGTTGCCTTGAAAAGCAGCTGGGTCTTCGCTTCGCTCTGCAAGGTAACACGTGGGGCTTAGGGGAAGCTAAATGAGATAGGAAGGGAATTAGGTTTAAAGAGACTGGCAGCCAAAAATAGGACCAGCCCATTGTGTGTTTTGATGGTAAGACTGTGTGTGAAATTTATAAGAATTCTCTTCCCTGCAACTGCAGGGAATGGACTGTGCTCTGGGGAGTGGATTTCACTCGACCCGACAACAGCCAAAGTTTGCAGCAGCATCAAAGAGGCTTTGCAAAATCCACGGAGTTTGGAGTTGTCAGCAGGACATTTTAAAAGTTTTTAATGTAGCTTTTTAAAGGTAGGTCAAATCTAAGATTGTAATTGAGGTTAGTTGCTCTCCACAGAGGGCTGGAAACAACACAATATAAACAATGGCACACTGAAGAGAAGCAAACATAATCTTAAGAAGTATTAGGGAAGATTTAAAATGCCTGGTAACTTCATTTGGTAGCAGACGGTTTTAAGGGAGAAAATCTTGCTCATTTTGGGGCTGACTCCATCACTTTAGGTGACTGTTAAGGCAACCTTTATAATACCTTTCCCCATGTGATGGAGGCTTTAGCAGTATGTTTCAAAGGAAGATTTAAAAACTCACTCATCAGTAGGCTGTGGGTTTTGTTGGCTTTTTTTTCCTTTAAATCGCCCTCATTCAAATTGTCATAGCTTGACAGCCCTGTGCCAGGAACACACTGTCATCATGAAGCTTGTATATTTAATTCCTTCCCTCTGATACTAATAACGCCTTAAGATGATTAAAATTGGAAGAACTTTAGCATCTCATTTGCTTTCCATTGGTTATGCTGTTCGCTGGCTTTTTGCTTCGCTCAAATTAGGCAGTGAAATTAGGCAGGTCGCTTTCCTTGCTTCTTTCCTTGTGTGTGTTTTTAGTTTCTAATCAATTTTTCTTTCTGGCTGTGGTGCGCGAATCCCCGTGCTGTTGTGACTGGGTTCCCAACTCCGCAGGGGAAGGCTGCGAGTTGGTCTATGCTATGTAGACAGTTGTGATTTAGAGGCATGGTCACTTTAACCCGTTACGAGGAACACAACTCAGGCTGGGTTCATGCTGTAATTTTGCTGCCCCAGCACTATGGCGCGTCCACATCTACACACTGCGTGCTTGTGTCGGTGCATTGTGGGAGAAGCTGGGCAGTTCTCCAGTCCTGCTTCGCAGCGGACAGAGGGCCCGGAAGTCATGCACACAGAGGGAGAAAGGAGGGCTGACCAAGCCAGTTATACAGGCACTGTGGGAGGGGTTGTCCTATCCGTGCCACATAAATACTACATTTCAGCCTAGTTACAGGAAAGGAGTTGCATGCCAGCTTCGTCCTCTGACAGGGACAAGATGCCGTTAGCTGCCAAGTTGGTGTGTGGACACAAACTTCCTTAGTGCCAACCAATGTTGTCAGCTGGTAAGATGGAATGTGGTTATTTTTAAACCCAGTTTCAAACCACAACGTGAGGGGAAATATTCTCCGCGTGTTCATCCAGGGCTCAGGCAGTGCCTGTTTGCTAACCCAGCAGCATACCCCAGCCACTGTCGTGGTGTCCTGATGAGCCCAGGTAAGGATCTGACGGGGGGTAATCGGACAGTTCAGTCAGCTCTAGAACTGACCTGGAAAACAGGCTCTGCTCCTGCATATTTAACAAAGACTTGCAGAGTAATGCGCATGCTGTACCTCTGTGGGAGAAAAGCCACTCAGACGTGGCTAACTGTTCTGTGCGTGCCAAGTGCAGTCAACCCGTGTCTTTGCTCTACGCTGAGGGGAACGTCCTAGAATCATAGAATATGCAGTAGGGAGCCAGGAGGGCAACTGCCCATATACCCCAAAGGTACCACATGTGCAAGAAAAATACCCTTCCAGAGCAAAGGGGGGAAGGACAGCTCAGTGGTTTGAGCATTGGCCTGCTAAACCCAGGGTTGTGAGCTCAATCCTTGAGGGGGCCATTTAGGGATCTGGGGCAAAAATTGGGGGAGTGGTCCTGCTTTGAGCAGGGGGTTGGACTCCATGACCTCCTGAGGTCCCTTCAAACCCTGATATTCTATGATTCTATATCAGGGTTGGAAGAGACCTCAGGAGATCATCTAGTCCAACCCCCTGCTCAAAGCAGGACCAACACCAACTAAATCTGTCTCTGTGTTGCTCTGGAAGGGTATTTTTCTTGAACGTGTGGTACCTTTGGGGTATATTGGCAGTTGCCCTCCTGGCTCCCTACTGCACATACCAATAGAAATATACTGTCCGTATGTTTGTTTATTTTCTTACTTTCTCAGTTGCTTAGTAGAGGTTCAAATCCTGCCTGCCTCAGAAGAGGTGAATATTTTCTCCTAGGTCAGACTAGATCTAATAATCTCTCCTGGCCTTACATTATATGACTCTTACATTTCATTGAAAAATAGGGTTTTTTATATCAACCAATCCCTGAAGTGCTAGGAGCCCAAACACAACCGCGTGAGCTCTTGCAGGATCACTGAGGAAATGCAGCTGACTATGAGCGAAAAGCAAACCGCTTCCCAAGCTGTGCAAAGAACAAGAAGTAAATGGCAGCAAAAGGGATCAGTAAGACAGACTCTTACGTTATTTCAGTTCTCCTGCCACTGACCCTGTAATAAGAAAAGAGCTTTTTCTCTCACCCACTGAAGCCCTCACGTGGCATTAATGGAAAGGGTAGTTTTAAGTGTGGCCATAAACCAGACCCCTGGTTCTGCCCTGATCTGCTCCCTGTGCCTCTTTCAAGAGACATCAGCTTAGTTTGACAAAGATCTTGCTGTCAGCCCTGTGACGCTGCAGGGGAAAACCAAGCTGGATTCTGCCGGGCTTCTAGCATCCTCACTGCAGCTGCAGGCTGAGTCTGGAAAGGGAAGGTCATTACCATTAATGATGGCAGCGCATGAGTTATGGAAGTTCACAGCTTGGTGATCAGACTCCCGGCTCAGCGGCAGTCAATAATAATAATGATAATGCTGATCATTAAAAAACAACTTGTTTTGCATAGGAAACTGAGCAGATTGGAGAATAAATGTGACGCTCCCAAGATCCTCTGCTACTTTGTTTTGTTTTAATGGAGATATTTTTCTTGTTGCCTGAAGAATGGCTCTGTTGCTAAGGCCCTGGGCTGGGAGTTGGGAGATCTGGATTTTGTTGCACACAGACTTGCCGTCCCTGTTCTGTGCCTCAGTTTCTGCAGCTGTAAACTGGGATAATGAGACCGACCATCCAGAGATGTTGTGAGGCTAAGCTAATATGTGTAAGATCCTTCGACATCCCTCCCTAGAAGGTGCCATAGAAATGGAAAGTACAGGGTGAAAGCCTGAGTCCTTACTCGCCACGACTTCAGTGTGAACGTTGTCAGAGCAAGGGCTGTTTATTTGTCCTGTTCGTAATTGGGCCAACAAATCTTGCATGTGCCTGCGCTGCTTGGACGTGCCCAGGGAGCCATTTGCACCTGCACAGACCAGCATTCCTGTGCACCATCTCCCTTTCGTTTGCAGAGCTGTTCGGGGTGGGGATCATTGTTTTCTTCCACTACACGTGCAACCAGTCTTACTAATTCATCAGGCAGATGTGCATTGCTTTGTGTGGGCATGGGCTAGGCGCTTGTGTTTGAAAGACACCACCCGTTGTCTAGCTTCTGAGTGGGAAGGAGAAAAATGCTTCTAGGAGGACGTAGGCAGGACGCAGAAAAGGGAAGGGGAAGGCCGGTTGCATGAGCCACCATGTCCCAGCTCCTCCGCTGTGAGCCCTTCCTCTTCACTGTCTGCTAGTGATGCCTTCTGTTCATCTCTTTTCTCCCCCACTCTCTAGAAAGACCTGACCAGGAGGATGTCATGACAGCCAGCAGCGCCGAAGCCAGCAGAGCCATGAGAAATCAGGATCTTCTGGAGAAGAAGCCCCTGGGACCCGCCCCTCCTCCCCGGAGGCACAGACGCAGGCTCAGGCGCAAGCCACCGACCGAGGTGGCTGTGAAGGGGCAGCTCCGGATGCGCTCGCCATCAGGGGCCTTCGTGATGGTGGGCGTCTCCGTCGTCTTGGTCGGCATGACAATCGCCGTTGTGGGCTACTGGCCTCACAGGGGCCCACACGCAGCCGGGCCTGGGGCCAGGCTGGGTAACTCCAGCGGCACGGGGGACATGAAGAAGGAAGTGAAGGTCTCTGCCCAAGCCCGCTACCTCCCTCACAGCGAGAAGCTGAAGCTGATTGGCCCTGTCATCATGGGCGTCGGCCTCTTCATTGTCATCTGTGCCAACACCATGCTGTACGAGAACAGGGACATGGAGACCCGCCTGTTGATGCAGAAAGGCCTCTACTCCATGACTCCAGGCCTCGCCCAGGACTTCAGCCAGGAGGACAAATACTGCCAGAGGAGGACTAGCTTGCCCCTCCTCAAGGCCAATGCCGAGTGTGTCGAGGGCTGTTACGAGGTGGATCTCTCCTCCAGCGGCTTCCAATCCTGTTCCAGTCCCGGGAACAAATGGGCCGACTGCTACGGGCATAACAGGCTCCAGACGACGGCCCAGCTGCTCCATCACAAGGGGATTTCCCACTCCATGTCCCTCCTCAGCGTCCGTTCAGACTCTGGCAACTCCATGGAGGGGAACCTCAATCTGTCCTTCGCCCGCGGGGCTGAGTCGGTAATTTCTTTGGCTGCCACTGCCCGGTCACTTCCCGTCATCAAGGTGAACAACTGTCTCATTGAGAAGCCGTCTGCAACTCGGGGGGCAGGCGATGAGGGGGAGATCAGCCTGGCTGGGGGGCCAGATGATGCACCACGGCTCTCATGGACTCTCCCACCCAGGGGCAGCAGCATCTCTCCCAGAGGAGATGACCTCCAGGGTGGCCATGTCGTTATTAACATAGACAGCGAGCCTCCATCTGTCACTGTGGGCGAGACATACCTGAACCCAGATGGCACCAAGAACGAATTCAGCTCAGATGTGCAGCTCCACAACCCGGGTCACTCCAAGTCGCTGGACCTTGGCAGGCCGGGCGTGCTGCTGGTGGCACCCATCAAAGACCGGAAGAACAGGAGCTGGCCTAGACTTGACCAAATCAGTCTGGTAGGCTACGCCAAACTGGAAAGCACGGGTGAGTCCTCTGACAGACTATTGGAGCAGACAGATCAGCAGGGCCCGGACGAGCCCAGCCCCAGCACCCAGGAGGTGTGAACAGAGATGGGTTCAAGGGTCTGACTTGGCAGGGGATGGGTGACACGGCCAGAACACCCTCCTCTCTTTTCATTGCCTCACCTGGGGGACTGCTGAGCATGTTCTTCTTTTAAGCAGACATTCCAATGACGTATGGAGGTCAGTGCGGCCTGCTACTCCTTAGGGGAAACTCTTCAAGGGATAGATGTCTCCTCCCCAGAGGCACCTGGTGCTGAGGTGTCACTCTTTCTCAGGGGGCAGCCTCAGCCTTGCCTTACGCCCCCCTCTCCCCAAGCTACATGAGGAACCCGGGCTTAGACAAGCTCTCCCCGAAAGGGGAGGCGGGCTGGGGATCCCTGCTACTAAGCCGTAGGGGCCCCTTTCCTCATCATTAGCCAGAAGGGCTGCGGCAGCGGGTGCGTGAGGGGCCCCCCGCCGCCCCACACCGCTAGGCAATTCACTGGCCAATGGAACATTAAGGCTACCAGGGTTATTAAATGTTCTCTCACCACCACCACCGAGATGCTAAGTCAATCATTTTGCCTGCACAATGTTTCATCATCCGTCTTTGCAAAGCTCGCTGTCACGGGTTGCCCCCCTTCAAGATGCCACTTGATGGGCTGGGATACCGCTGAGCCTGCCTGTTCTGCCAACATGGGCTCCCTTTAACCTGTCTTGCTGAGCCAGGGTCTTAAGCCTCCTCCAGCACAGACACAGGCAGGGCCACACCCAGCTGCAGAAAGACACAGACACTGAGATCAGCTCTGGGAAGACTCAGTTTAAGGGACTTGCCCTAGCACTCAGGTGCCCACCTCCCTTGGAATGCAGACCTAAAGTTATATTGTCTTGCTCTGTATAGAAGAATCTGCACAGTGCAAGCTCATAAAATTCGCTCTCTTCCTCAATGTGAAGAGAAATATGCACCCCTTTGTGCCCCCCCATTAGAAATTGCATGAACTGGGTTTAATAATAAAAAAGGTAGATTTTAAGTGGTTATAAGGGTTAGCAAACAGAACAAAGCAGATTACTAAGCAATTAAAACAAAACACACAAACTAAGCTTGATTCACTAAAGAAACAGGTTACAGAATGTAATTTCTCACCCTAACTGTTGAATTTAGGCAGGATGCAAAGTTTCTGTAGCTCCGTTTCAGTTATTTCTTCTTCTAGATTGGACCTTTGTCTCAGTCTGGACTTACCCCCCGCCTTTCCCTTCAGGTTAGTTCCTTTGTCCCTTTAGGTACTTTCAGCAGTCCCTCTTCTTGGGTAGGTAATGGAGGAGAGTCCCATTTGCATTCCTCCCCACCCTTAAATAAGATTTATGTAAGGTGGGAATCTTTGTTTCCCAAACTTGACACACACACACCCCCAGCTTTTAGTGGAAAGTTATAAGAAGTCCAAGGTAATGTTTAGTATCAGCTGACAAGACCACCTGATCTAGTATTGTCACAGCTATGCCCTTCCAGGAAGGAGAGAGATTAGTGTCTTCAGTCTTGTTGTTTCTTCCTGATGGCCTGTTGGCTGGAGGGTGTCTTCCCAAGACACACCCAGTTGTAATTGTTACATAGTCCATGTTCTTAACTTTAGATACAGAAATGATATATGCATAGAAATTGGATAATCATCTTCAGTAAATGGCAACCCTTCCAATGATACCTTACATGAGCCATCTTGCATAAAACATATCTTAGCTGTGTCAGATCCATATTACACTCCATATTCTTTATGAAAATATGCTTATAACGTCACACTCGCCAGCTGCCTTCTTTCCCGGGAAGTCTCCTCTGCCACTGTCAGAGTGACAGGAGTCGTCAGCAGAAGGGGCCTGGGCAGGATCTCTGGTGTGTCTGGTTTCATGGAAGAGGGCACCTGGCTGAACATGAAGAAGCAATAGGAGTGGGTCAGGGCTGGTCCACACTGCAGTCGGAGGCGTGACCGCAGCTCAGAGGGGCACACCCCCTGCTTGCTTTAATCTAGCTCGCCTGCTAAAAATAGCAGTGAAAATGCAGGAGCCCAGACCTCGGCCTGGGCTAGGAACATGAGTCGTACCCAGGGTTCTGGGTAGGTTTTACGCAGCCCATCCTGCTGGGTCTTCACTGCTAGTTTTAGCCGCACTAGCTTGATTATGCCTCTCCAATCTCCCCTGTAGGTACTGCTGTATCTTTAAAGGGATGGCACTCACTTACACCAGCTCTGAATTTGACCCTAGCACTGTGTGAAACGAATCACCCCAACGATCAGGAGAGTTCAGCTCCTGGGGTCTGATTTACAAGATAGGGGCCGCCTGCTGAATTTGGATCTGGGTTCTATCGCTAAAAGAAGCCAAGACCAAAAGGAGCTGCATACCGCCATACAACTCAGTAGGGGGTCACCCATTGTACAGTGAGTCTGATTTGCCCCGTGCTTACACCAGTTTAAACTCTGCTGCAGTCAGGGGAGAAAGGCTGGTCCAGAGGTTCTGGAGCTAGCCTGAGATTGGGGAGACCTGTGTTCAATTCCCTGTTCTATCCCAGATTCCCTTTATGATCTGGGGTAAGTGCCTTAGGCCCACTGCTTCAAAGATATTTAGGTGCCTATCTCCCATTGGCTTTATTCTTTGTACCTCTGGTCCCCATCTAAAAACAGCTGAATAGCATTTCTGGTGCTGGAAGCGTAAATGCATTAAAGGCTGCAAGGTCATGGGGGCTGTAGATAGATTTACACCCGTGAGAGGAGAATCAGGCCCCCAGTTCTGAAATCGTGAATTTGGCAAAATTCCCACTGAGACCTCACTTCCCCCTTACCTGGCTAAGCCCGGCCTGCCGGTGGCGCTGCAGATATACCTGTGTCGAAGGGTCCTTTGTAGCCTATATCAGGGCAAATCGCAGCTCTGCATTAACCTGCCGAGGGAGAAAAACGTCTGCTGCCCATTTCCTTCTGTGTGAGGAATTTTATAGAAATGTTTCTAATTTCACTCCCAGCGTCCCTTTCCAAATTCTTCACCATGACCTCAATTACCCTCTGGAAGGTGGGGTGAGAATCAGACTGAGCACTGGCTTTGGAGTTGTTAAAGGGGCAGTGGCAACATAAAACTCGTCTGTCTTTTAGCTACACCCTGACTCACATTTAATAACCCACCTCGAGACTGGGCCTGCTCATGGTAAAAGTCATGTTCAATTTTTGCCTTCATGTTGCTTGTTCGATGCTTTGCTCCACGGGAGCAGTGACACGTCTCATGGCCAGGCTCTCAGGCATTAGCACTGTGCTGTGGTGGGCCCAGCATCGCAGGGGCACAGTGTAGTCTAGCAGGATTTGTCATAGTCCAGTGGATAAGGCACTAGCCACAGTCAGTTTAGCGAAATCTAATCCCCGCTTTCCCTCTGACTCAGTGTGGCCTCACGTCACATAAACATGCTGTGCCTCAGTTTCCCCATCTGCATGATGAGACTTCGCCTCCTTTGTAGAGCACTTACAGATCCTTGGATAAAATATGCTCTGTAAATATTATGAGTGAATTGATCACACAAGTCATCAGTTCAGCCGCCAGCTCATTCTGTAGCCATTGGCAAGTCACTTAACATCACCCTGCCTCAGTTTCCACATCTGTTTTAAAACAAAAAGGGAAAATCATCGGTAGCACCAGGGTGTCGTGAAGATAAACTCGTTAACATGTCTGAAGTGCTTCAACAATGGGAAGTGCTAAATATTATATGGCAGGGGGAAGTTTGGGTAAACAAATCTTTTAAGAGCAAGAACCCACTGTTTTTCTCCTGGGCCCTACTCACCTGTCCTCACTCGGGTTTTACTCCCATTAAAACCAGTGGGAATTTTGCCTGAGTAACAGCTGCAGGATGTGCCCATTTGCTTTCCTGAAACTCGTCCCTTCTTAAAAACAAATCTGAACTGAGCATCACCCTGAGCCAGGCAGCTGCTCAGCAGGCAGCAGGAGGAGGAAGGAGTGTCTTACAGAGGGATCAGCTCATCCCCATTCTGTTCGCCACAGCAAGGCAACGTCCACCGGGGAGGTGGTTGGTAACAGACCAGATGGGCGCCTCCCATACAGCCTTGAAAAGTGACAGGAGTGGTATCTCCTGGATTTTGTCAAGGAGGCTCTGTGCTGCAATGTAATGCCCGAGCTTAGCAGGGTGGGGAGTGACTGGCTTGGGCTGAAGGCCAGACAGGAGCCGTAGTGACCATCTGCTCTGAGCCCCTGCATAGCACAGGCCAGAGACCCTCACCCAGGAAGTCACTTGTGGTTGAGCTGGAATTCCTGTAGTCTTAGACATCCAGTCCCGAGGGGAAGGTTCCCGAGCGACAGAGAATCTACCATGGCCCTTGGGAAACCGTTCCAATGGCCAACGAGTTGGTTGCTGAGGCTCTGGCACTGCAGTTAGTCCCTGGGCCTGGGCCTCCCCCCTTAACATGCTGGGGACAAATATCCAGAGTCTCCCATTCAGGGAGGCCTGAGCTAGCTTTAATCCAGCCAGCTTCGACAGCGGAACGGTGATGCCGTGGCAAGCCTGCCTGGAACACCGGGTAAGCTCCTTGCAGGGCTGGCTCATGCTGCTGCGGCTTCCGGTAGCCGAGCTAGCTAGATTAAAGCCAGCTCAGGTGCGTCAGCTCAAGCGGCAATCACACCCGGTGATGGCAGTGTAGACAGAGCCAAGGCCCCAGGTCTGCTCTTGGCTTCGTTCACCCGCAGCATTTTGCTGGCTGCCCTTTTACACCCCGTGCTCCCTGGCCATTTCTCTGGAAAAGGAGACAAATGACTTGAAATTTTAAAAAAAGCCGTTTGCTTTGAGTGACCTTTCACTCCCCCTCTGCTCCGTGCAGGGACTGCTGGCTTTGCAAGGGCCAGGCTGGCAGCTTGCCAGCTGCCCACGGCCTGCACCGAATGCTGCATCAACCTCCAATTCCAAAATAGCCCCGTTGTAGTATGTGAGCTCTGACTTGCCCTTTCTTAGATGACTAGAAATCACCTGTAGTGTAGACCTGCCCTGGATCCTTGTTAGCCTCACTCTGCAGCAATAAGGAGACGGAAAGGAGTACTTTTCTTTTTGCGGATACAGACTAACACGGCTGCTTCTCTAAAACCTGTCAATAAGGAGAAGGTGGCTGCCGCCGCAGGGACTCACAGGCTGCACTTGATCTGGCGTAACATCAGCTAGACACATGCACCTCTTTTTGGAGCCCCCCCAGGCTGTGCTCTGCCACCACTGTGCCCCCATGGAACTGAGACCTGAGCTCAGCCCCATCCTGGGTCACATTTCCAGAAAGCGGGAAATTTGTCAGTACAGCTTCCAGTTTTTATTTGTACTGTGACAAAGTTTCTCCTCTACCTTGGTGGGTCTTGCGCTTATTGGCGGATTTGCTCGCCTTGGAGCTTCACAGCAGCCCTCAGCTTGGCCGTTTTTGTGAACCCACAGTCCAGGTCAACTCCTCCTGTGTCTGACCAGGAGTTGGGAGGTTTGGGGGGAACCCAGGCCCGCCCTCTACTCTGGGTTCCAGCCCAGGGCCCTGTGGAATGCAGCTGTCTAGAGCACCTCCTAGAACAGCTGTACGACAGCTACAACTCCCTGGGCTACTTCCCCATGGCCTCCTCCCAACACCTTCTTTATCCTCGCCATAGGACCAGAGCAGCTTCTTGATTGGCTGCAGGTGTTCTAATCAGCCTGTCTGTCTTAATTGTCTCCAGAAGGTTCCTGAGTGTTCTGGAACCTTCCCTGTTACCTTACCCAGGGAAAAGGGACCTACTTAACCTGGGGCTAATATATCTGCCTTCTATTACTCTCCCCTGTAGCCATCTGGCCCACCCTGTCACATATCCTGCCCCCCGCCCCGCTCAACACTGCGGGGCTGGGCAACTTGGGACGAGCCATCTGCATTGCCATTGTGGCTTCCAGCCCGGTGTTGAATGGTGAATTGGAAAAGTTGTAGGGACAGGAACCATCTGGTCCCCCTTGCATTCTTCTCTTTATTTCGCTGCATCCACTGGATGGGTGCATGGTCAGTCACAAGGGTAAACCGTTGCACCAAAAGGTAATAACATAGTGTTTCCGTGGCCCATTTCACAGCTAGGCACTCTCTTTCAACCACAGCATACTTCTGCTCTCTCGGGAGGAGTTTCCTGCTGAGGTAGAAGATTGGGTGTTCTTCATCTCCGACTATCTGCAATAGGACAGCTCCCAATCCCACTTCAGATGCATGTTGTAAAATGAATTCATTATTGAAGTCTTGGGCTATAAGCACGGGGTTACTGCAGAGGGCTGTCCGTAGATCCATGAATGTTTTCTCTGTGGCATCTGTCCACTTCACCATGTCTGGACCCCAGGCTTTTATCAGGTCTGTCAGGGGACTCGCTCTGGTAGCAAAATGGGGAATAAATAATCGGTAGTACCCCACCACACCCAGGAATGCCCGGACTTGCTTTTTCCAATTTGGCTGGGGCCAAATTTGGATAGCCTCTAGTTTGTTTAGCTGGGGCTTGACCATGCCCCTTCCTACAATGTAGCCAAGGTATTTAGCCTCGGCTAGCCCTATAGCACACTTGTCTGCGTTAGCTGTGAGTCCAGCCTGTCTTAGCGTGTCCAGAACCACTTCCACCTTTCCTAAGTGGGTTTCCCAGTCGGGAGTGTGAATAATCACATCATCCAAGTATGCCGCTGCATAACTGGTATGGGGCTGTAGGAGCTTGTCCATAAGATGCTGGAAGGTGGCAGGTGCCCCATGCAGTCCAAAAGGAAGAACAGTATATTGAAACAGACCCTCTGGTGTCGAGAATGCCGTCTTTTTTTTCACATCTTTGGCAAGGGGAATCTGCCAGTATCCCTTTGTTAAATCAGGGGTGGTCAAAAATCAGGCATTGCCCAGGCAGTCAACTAACTCATCGATACGGGTACGTGGTATGCATCGAATTTGAATATCTCATTCAGCCGGCGAAAGTCATTACAAAACCTAGTGGTGCCATTGGGTTTGGGCACCAACACAATCGGGCTTGACCACTGACTGTGGGACTCTTCGATGACTCCCAGCTCCAACATCCTTTTTACCTCTGCCTTGATCTCCTCCCTTTTTGCCGCTGGGACCTGATAGGGCCTTAAAGTTACCTTTGCCCCAGAGTCTGATAATGTGGTGATATGCTTCGGTGGTCCAACCTGGTTTGGTTGAAAACACGTCCTGGTATCGGTTGATCATCTCAGTTACCTCCTTCTTCTGGTTTGGTGTCAGATCAGTGGATATCCTGATCTGCTCCTGCACGCTATTTCCCTAGATCGGGGTCTCTTGGGCCACTACACACGCCTCTTGTTGGTGCCAAGGCTTTAAGAGGTTAATGTGATAAATTTGTTCTTGTTTCCGGGTGTCCTGGCTGCCACACCTTGTAGGTTACTTCCCCCACGGGTTCAACCACCTCATAGGGCCCCTGCCATTGGGCCAAAAGCTTGCTTTCTGCCGTGGGTATCAACACCATCACCTGATCCCCTGGTTGGAACTGTTAGACTTTTGCCTGGCGATTGTAATGGGTTCGTTGGGCCTCCTGCACCTTTTCCAAATGTTCCCGTACAATAGGGGTGACCCGGGCTATCCGTTCTTGCATCTGCAACACAGGGTCAATTATATTTCTCCCCTCATTGGGTTCCTCTTCTCAGTTTTATTTTGAGATATCTAGCATGCCACGGGGTTGGTGTCCGTATAATAATTCAAAGGAGGAAAAACCCAGTTGAGGCCTGAGGTACCTCCCGGATTGCAAACATAAGGGTAGTAGGGTGTCCCAATCCTTCCCGTCTCGACTTACCACTTTCCTTATCATTGCCTTGAGGGTTCGGTTAAACCTTTCTACCAGCCCATCAGTCTGCGGATGATAGGCTGAAGTTCTCAGGGTATATATATGGAGCAGAGTACAGAGGTCCTTCATTAGCTTTGACATAAATGGGGTACCTTGGTCTGTTAATATCTCCTTTGGTAGCCCCACTTGGGCAAAGATCCCCACAACTCTTTAGCTATCATTTTAGAGGCCGTGTTCCACAGGGGGATGGCTTCTGGGTAGCAAGTAGCATAATCCAGAATGACAAGTACATGTTGGTGGCCCTGGAGTGTCTTCTCCAGGGGTCCCACTAGGTCCATGGCTGTTTGCTCAAAGGGGACCTCTATGATGGGAAGGGGTACTAAAGGTGCCCTCAAGTGGGGATGGGGACTGTGCAGCTGACACTCTGGGCAGGACGCGCAGTACCTCCGCACTTCTTCATGTACTCCAGGCCAGAATAATCGTGCCAGGGTCTTCTCTACCCCCAAATGCCCCCCAAAAAGATGACTATGGGCCAGACTTAATACAGCATTCTGGTGTTCTTTGAGGTACTAGAATCTGCTATACCTTCTGCCCCTGTACTGGTGCAACCCGGTATAAGAGGTTCTTCTTCATTATGAAGTAGGGTCCTGGTCCCTGGGTTTTGCCTTCCACGGGGACCCCATCTATTTCGGTCACCTCCTTCCTAATGTTGTCATATCTTGGGTCTTCAGCCTGGTCCCGTCCAAAATTTCCTCTCCTGGGGCTAATTTGCCCGAGATCTAGGGGGCCAGTCTCTGTTGCCTCTACTGGTTCAGAGGCA